TTCCATTACTTCTGTCGTTCAACGCGTTCACGAAAGTTCCGTGAACGCGAACATTCCTTGTGCAGTGCCGGTGGGCGTTCGTTGCCCGCACTGTCCCACTGGTGCTCCCCGCATCAGCGAGAGAGACCTCACCAGGTACACGACTAACCGTGTACCTGCAAACGTTAAGGAGCTACGTGCTAAGATCGCTTGCACGCGTCAGCATCCTAGTGTGGCGCCTGAGCACAACACCCCGCGAAACACTGCACCCCGCAGTGTTACGCCTCCAGTCCGTGGTGGGCTTCGTACGCCTTCACCATTTCCGGAACGTCCGTCATCAGGACGTTTCGGTGAAACCACGTATCTCGAAGGAAACCCGATTGTCTCCAACGAATACGAAAACGAACCGGACCTCGGTTCGTCTTCGGACTGGTATGGTCAACAATCCGATCCACCGCGAGGTGGATCGTACCGCGGACAGAGTTATGCTTCTGTCGGCGGTGCTGGACGCTCATCATATGGTCAACCCCAGGTTGACCACGGTTTACAGGCGCTCCACGCTCGCGTGGAGGCTCTTGAGTGCGTTCAGGCTTCTCCGATCGCTGAGCTGAGGTAGCAGCTGAACGTGCAGAAGGCCTACGTGGTCGAAGCCGCTCAGACCACCACAAGCATCTGTGTTGAGGTGTCGGAACAAGTTCGCCTTCTTCAGGAGAAGGTGAAGAGGCTTGAGGAGAAGCTGAGGACGCGCCGCTCGTCGTCGTCAGTGAGTCATCACGACTAGATGACTCGGGCTGCACGTATGGCTTCAAGCGCCCAACGTAGAACGTTGGGTGGAGTCTCATGTCGGAAGGAAGTTCCAACGTGTACGCGCTGCCGTGACGTTCTGTCACCGTGAACAGCCCAATGAGTAGGCAAGTTTTGCGTAGATAACAAAACTAATGAACCAATTTTGAATTCATTTGTATTACCCCCTGCCAACATTGTCTGCGTTCAGCTTCTGCCTATCCGCAGAAGCTGCAATTGCATCTTGTACAAAACGAACGACTGCTTGTTGTTCTTTGACAATGTCGATTGCTTGAGAGCTGAACCCCGGGTCCAGCTCATTGGTCTTGTCCGCGTCTGCGCCCTGCACAGACTCGCCACGTGTGTTCGCATCAGTTCCAGACTGTGCGTGGCTCTTTGTGGTGTCAGTGTCCGACACTGACACTTCGTGTGTGATCGCAACAAGCCCATCCTGTGCGTGAAGCTTCTCAGTATCGATGCCCGGCATCGATACATCACTTGCGCGTGCAACCGGCCTGGCCTGTGCGTGGGGCTTCGCGGTGTCTGTACCCCGCATAGACACATTGTCCTTGAACGAAGCAGGTATCGCCTGCTCGTGGTTATTTACAGTGTCAGTGCCCGGCACTGACACGTCGCCTTGTCGTGTGCGGGCTCTCGCACTCGCACGTGTCGTCGCAGCGGATAGATCCGTATCAGCTGTACTCTGCGGTTGTTTGCGTGCAACCGTAGATCCCCTCCACTTAAGGAGGAAGCCACTGCCCCCAGCGTGCTCGGAAGGCGTGGATGCCGCATGGCGTTCACGAAGAACGGTGTATGCCCAGTCGAGGCATGCACCGCGTTGTTGATGGCGAACTCGGCCATCGGCAAGTAGTCGCTCCAGTTGTGGAACGACTGGGCGTAGCTTTTCAGCAAGTCCACGAGCACGCGCTTCACGTGCTCGGTTTGCCCGTCCGTCTGCGGATGATCCGCAGTCGACATTAAGAACTGCGTTCCAAGAAGTGTGAACACTTCTTGCCAGAAACGTGCCGTGAAGCGCGGATCGCGGTCCGACACAAAGTCGTTGGGCATTCCATGGTGCTTGAACACCATGTCGACGAACAGACGTGCCGTCTGTACGGAGGTCACCTCCGCTGCGACAGCAG